TTTTTTTTTTTTTTTTTTTGAGGCACTGGGGATGAACCTTAGGCCCCTTAAAAGCCAGACAAGCCCTCTACCCCTGAGTTACACCCCCAGCCCAAGATGTTTGTTTTCCAATAATTAAACTACACCTTTGTATACATGTGTTTTTGTTGAGTTTCTATATCTGCGGTTTGTGATCAATTAAAAAGGATTTTTAAAAAAAGAACTAAGGCAGAGATAGATAAACTCTTTTCAAACGGCCAGATGGTAACTATTTTAGGTTTTACAGGCCAAGAGACAAAAATCAAGGAAGTTACACTGGTACTTATATAACCATTTAAAATATAACTACTTAAACATGCATAAGGATAGCCAGGCAGGAAGGTGCACACCTGTGACCCCAGCTACTAGGAAGGTTGAAGCAGGAGGATTGAAAACTCAAGGCCAGTCCAGGCAGTTTGGGGAGACTTTGTCCCAAAATAATAATAATAAGTAGAGCTTCCTTAGATTGGGGGCGGGGACAAGCATGAGGATAACCTCAAGGGCCCAGTAATCCTTCTTTGGAAAGGGGTATGGAGAAATGAACTCAGAGCTAGGCAAATGCTCCACCTCAGTCCTATTGATTGATCGACTAATTGGCAGGGTCAAGTTAAATTTTCCAGGCTAGACTTACTCCCAATCCTCCTGTTTTAGGCTCCCCAGCAACTGGGATTACAGACATGGAACACCTCACTCAGCTCCCACTGACCCTTAAATTCCGGATCCCAGAGGCGCCCAGGCCTCCAGCCCCGAGGTCCATTGCCTTCGCCCCTCCTTCTCGGGTCAGCATCATCCTCCAGTCTCCAAGCCCAAGTACGCAAGCGCAGGGTGAGCCTCAGGCTCCACCCACCTGCTCAAAGTGGGCACTGGTCTGGGAGAAAGCGGAGATCCCGGGGGGCACTTAAACAGTAGCCCCCAGCAAAGGCAAAGGGACCATCCGTCAAGCCTGTGTCCACACTGTTCCCCAACCCTCTGCCAAGACCTGTCACTGAAGGCACAGTCCTGCAGTCTGAAACTGGCGGAGACAACAGTTCCCTTGGGAACCTGCTGGGACTCCACAGGGACCCTCCTCACTGGCTAGAACCCATCCCAGACCTGCCAATCAGAACCAGGGTCTGCATCTTCAGCAAGCTGTCAAGAGCCAGGATGCCTGGTCTGATGGGCATACCAGTAACACATCAAACCAGGAACACCTCTTGTAGGTGAAACTTTTCATCTAGATGCTAAAAGGCAGCATTTATAAAGTTCCCGAAGCTGGACTCCCTGTGCTCAGTGGGGGTGGGAGAGTGTCCCCTCACGCTCCTCATCTATCAGCTCTGGACAGAGCATGTCAGCCCAAGGGGAAATCAGAAAGGTCTGATTCCACTCCCAGGATCCTCCTGTCCCTTCTTTCAAACAAACAGGAAAGGAGGGAGCCCAGAAAACAGGAGCCTTGGACCTGCCAAGATAAGTAGGTCACATGGCAACAGAAGCCCCAGATGGAAGGACGACAAAACGCCACTATCTTTAACAACAGTGGAGGAGCGGGGACGGTGCCCACAAAGCCCAGATGGAGAGATCCCAGAAACAGGCCCATTTGCATGAGAAGTGCAGAATGAAATTGCTGCAAATACTGAGACAGCGGATCTGTACCCAGAAGGGTTCCCATGTCAGTAACTTCCCTCTCTGGCGCCTCCTCTCTGTCTCCATCTCCCTTGGGTTTAACTTCCCCATTAGGTGACAGTGCGAAATCAGAAGTCACACCCCAGTCCACCAGGAACCACTCTGCTTCACTGGGAAATACTAAACAGAAGTCACTCACCAGACAACATATTTAAAGGGGAAACAATTAACAGCAAGGAGAGATAATAAGATGGGGAAAATCTATTTCAAACAGAAAACTTTAAAAATTTTTTAATCCATGATACACGCTACCATACAGAGGCTGAGGCAGGAGGATTGCAAGTTTGAGTACAGCCTAGGCAACTTGGACCCTCTTGTCTCAAAAATAAAAGGGCTGGGGATGTAACTCAGGGCTAAGTTCAATTCCCAGCACCAGCACCACTAGCAAAGAAAGAGAGAAAACATTGTGCTGCTGGGCGTGGTGGTGCATGCCTGTAATCCCAGCACTCAGGAGTCTCAGGCAGGAGGATCACTGTGAGTTAGAGACCAGCCTGGGCTACATAGTGAGTTCCAGGTCAGTCTCAACTACACAGTGAGACCCTGTCTCAAAAAAAAAAAATTATGCTAAGTGAAAGAAGCTAGTCACAAAGGACCACATGTTACACGATTCCATTTATATGAAATGTCCAAATAGGCAAATCTACATAAACAGAGAAAGCTGAAAAACGGTTGCCTGGGGCTGGAAGGGAGGGATGAAAGGATTGGTGGTTAATGGCCAAAGGATGCCAGGATGTTTTGGGAGGTAATGAAAATGTTCTAAAGGTGATTGCAATAATGGTTGCACAATTCTGAGAATGTACTAAAAGCTAAAAGCTATTTAACTGTATGCTTTAAATGGGCAAATTGTGTGGTGTGAATTATATTTCAGTAAAGACATATTTTTTTTAAATCATGGTACATTAGATCCAGGTTCTCTAAAACACGAAGCTCCCACTATAACACAAAGATTCTCTGGGCAGCATCTGAAAAAGAGTTGATATTCATACTGGGGAGAGACCCTGCTCTATTTATCTGGAAAAACATTCTCAGCTCAACTTGGGAAAGAATTTCGCAGTCTTTCTCAGGGTCATCAATCACAGAAATCCCCATTTGCCTTTAGGTCCCTCTTGTAGAAGCACTGGAAAAACCAAAACACACTTTCAAAACACCTTTAACCATGGACAAAGGAAGAAATGGGATCTTCAAAGTTGAGAATTCTCTATTGCTATAGAAACATGAGTCCAAAATAGACTACATAGTTCCCCAAGGAAACTGTGTTTCAAATGACTCCAAATAACCCAACACACTAAGAATGGTGGCCAGAGCCTTCTCTCTGAGCATGTTTCTTCTCAGACCTGCTGCTCCTACCGAGCTTTGACTTTGGCAATCTGCTTTTAATTGTCCAAACTGAGGGCAGAAGTCATGATGAGAAAGGTGGAGGACACTGGCTGCATCCATCCACAGGGCTTGTGTTGGCTTCAAAGTCACAGCTGCTATGATAGAAAGACAGGAGGGGGTGTGGGACAGGCGTCTTCCCCTAAAGCAGAATACACAAACCCTAAGATGTCAGGAGGCTCATGAGAGAAAGCTCTGCTGTTTTTAGCCACCAGCTTTGTCCTAACCTGAGGACCTGGATTCTTTCTTATCCCCAGCCAAATTAAAAGACCAAACGTCATTAAGCAATTAATAATGGAGCAGATGCTATTTGGCATCTAGGTCTCCGACAAACAGACTCCGGCTCCAAAGGGCCTCCTTCAGCCCCTAAGGACAAAAGGACTCTCTCTGATGCCAAGTCCAAAGGGAACTGGCACGTGCCTATGACTGTGCCTGGCACATAGCAGTCTCCAATAAGTCATTACTGAAAGACTCCTGAATGAATACTGATATTCCTTTGGCATTCACCACCTTCTCTCCGTGGTCTGGAGACACACGACGCACACACCGGAACCCACATCTCTTACAACCTTGTAAAATCAGGCTAACAATTGTTAGAATCTATAGATTTCAGGGGGCGGGGCATTTACTAATTTTATCAAGAATGTACCCTAAGCGCCTAAAGCAGTGCCTAGCACACAGTAGGCTCTCGAGTATCTATCTGCTTAAGGCTAAACGGATCAAGAGCCTGCTGCAAGCCAGGCTCCTGCTACCCGACCTCTTCGGCGCCTTCATTCTCAGCCCCTTCTGCCCAGGCGCAAGGCTGCCCCTGAGTCCTCCCGTCGCCAGGGGCCGCTGTAAGCAATGCGTGCCTCCCTTTGCTTCGCTCTTTGATCCCGTGAAGCTGCCGCCCGGAGCTAAGATGGCCGCATCAGTGGCAGGGGTCGCCAGGCGGCTGCGGCGGGCCATACGAAGGTCGCCCTCAAGGCTGGGCCGCAGCCAACAGCCGCTGTCCACCTTGCCCCCTCCAATCCAGGGCTCGGCCGTTCGGGACGCCTTCCTGAGCTTCTTTCGCGATCGCCATGGCCACCGCTTGGTGCCCTCTGCTTCTGTACGGCCCCGCGGCGACCCCAGCCTGCTTTTCGTCAACTCGGGCATGAACCAGGTGGGGCGGGGCGAGCTTCGGGAGAGAGGCGCAGCGGGATTGGGCGCAGGGGGAGGGGCGGGGCTCACGGACTCTGGGAGCGAGGGCGGCGCGTGATTGGGTGGAGCTATTGGGGCGGAGCACTGGAGGGTAGGGATTGGGTTTTAGATTTTTGTTGGGGGGGGTCGAACTCGGTCGAACTCTTGCCAGGCAGGCAGCAGAACCACCAAGCTAAATCCCCGGCCCTGGGTTTTAGATCTTGACGGGGAGAAGACCATTCATCATGCATGTATGCATGCGTGCATGTATTCTGTGCTGTGAATCGAGCCCAGGTTCTTGCACAGACTAGGGAAGCACTCTACCGCTGAGCTACATTCCCAGTCCTAAGATTTTGATCTTTAAATAAAAATAACTTGTACATCAAATAAATGATTAGTGTGCACCTACTAGCGTGCACCTAGGTACTGTTCTCTCGGTTTTTTACCTTGAGCAACCACCCATCCTCTCTAAATGGCTCTCAAAGTGTACATTAAAGATGAATGGGAGAGTAACGTAGAGACCGTTCATTTTCCTTACTAAATTCTGCTATTCTGGTCAGTGCCTAGTACCCTGTAGACTTTTTTGCACCCTGAAAGTTTGGGATGTAGTTAAAAAGTGAGGTGGAAGATTCTACCTCTCTGTCTCCTGTTTCCAGCCACTCATACATTCCTCTTCCTTTTACCTTTCCTGTTTTCTTAGCAGGTCTTTGGTTCATAGTTTATTTATCCCTTCTCTGCCTCACACACACTAGAGATGGCCGCCTCAGCCTCCCAGGTTGCCCCCTAGGCCAGGAACATACTGCAGTCTCAGGGTCACAGCCAGCCTTCATTCTGAGCAGTGAGCACTGTGTCCACTGATGTCCCCGCCCCCTTCATGTGCTCCCAGTTCAAGCCCATCTTCCTGGGCACTGTGGATCCACGAAGCGAGATGGCTGGCTTCCGGCGTGTGGCCAACAGCCAGAAGTGTGTGAGGGCCGGAGGACGCCACAACGACCTGGAGGATGTGGGCCGAGACCTTTCCCACCACACCTTCTTTGAAATGCTTGGCAATTGGGCTTTTGGGGGTGAATATTTCAAGGTGAGTCTCCCGTCAGCTCGGGCAGGGCCTCATTCTAGATGCAGGGGCAGATGGCTAGAGGAATATGTGTAAGAGGGATGCATCTCACTTCTGCGCTGACTGGATTCTAAGTGCCTGCTGCCTAGTGACTGGTCAAATGTGCACTAAAAGTGGCCAAGGTGCTAACTGGAATCAGTGGTCACTCCAGGCCAGTATGAGGAGAGGATTTCACAGAAGGGGGACTTGAAAGAAGGGAGGCTTTGGGAGAGCAGAGAAGCTTTCTAGTCAGGAAAAGATGCTGAGACAGAAATGATCATAGTGTTGTAGGAGCAGGGCGGGCAGTACAAATAGTTTTCAACTGAAGCCTGAGCTATTGTGGCTCCATTGGCATGCCTGGCCCTCCCGCTAAATGATCATAGTGTTGTAGGAGCAGGGCGGGCAGTACAAATAGTTTTCAACTGAAGCCTGAGCTATTGTGGCTCCATTGGCATGCATGTGGGCCTCCAGCTAGTTTCCACTGCAGGAGGAGGCTTGCAGCATGGCTTGGGAACTGCTGACTCAGGTCTACGGGATCCCTGAGGACAGGCTGTGGGTCTCCTACTTTGGTGGTGACCCCAAGGCAGGACTGGACCCAGACCTGGAGAGCAGGGACATCTGGCTCAGCTTAGGGTAAGTCACGCCACTCCTCAACCCACTCCTAGAGGGCAGGAGGACTGGAAACAGACCTGGCACCAGTCCTCGGGGCTTCAACAAGTTCCAGGGTGCTGTGGGGCAGCCTTGGTCATCTTCATTGTTGAGTGGGTTCTTCTATGGGGGCTTTCATGGCAGAGGGGGTCCCAGCCTCTAAATCTTTCTCTCTCCTTCCACTTCCTTGGCCTTCTCCCAGGGTGCCTAGCAACCATGTGCTTTCCTGTGGACCACAAGAGAACTTCTGGGAGATGGGAGACACTGGCCCCTGTGGGCCCTGTACTGAGATCCACTATGACTTGGCTAGTGGGGTGGGAGCCCCCCAGCTGGTGGAGCTTTGGAATCTAGTCTTCATGCAGCACAACAGGTAACAGGTGCTAAAGCAGGAGAATGCCTGAATAGAAGTGAAAAAGTTACACTCAGAAGACTGATGTACTTATACAACAAACACGCTGAGGTATACCCAGGGTAGAGCCCTTGCCTACCATGGGTGAGGCCTGGATTCCCTCCCAAGCCCTGCAAAAAAACAAAAACAAAACCTTAAAGGATACATAGTGTGTCAGGAACACTCCTGAACACTTTTCAGGTAATAACTGATTGAATCCTAGCCTTTGGCCGTGACAGATTAGTCACTGCGATGCCCAGGCCTCTCACATGAGTGTGATAGAGTTGAATGTGATGATCTCGAAGACTCTCTTCTAGCCTTACGCGTCCCCTAGAGCAGAGAATTCTATCCAGTAGGCAGAGTCCAGGTCCAGGCAAGGGCCCAACAGGTGTGAGGGTAGGAGTGAGAATGGAATGACTTTTAATGACAAAGGACAGGAACCAGGGCCTTCTTCATTTGCTGCTGGGTGTGTGTTGGTCAGGGGGGGGTACCCACCTGGTTCCTCCCACTGGCATCCCCCTGGGACCCCTCTTACTCTGCTGCACCCTCCTCTCCTCCCCCTTGCAACTGTCCCTGATCAGAGAGGCTGATGGAAGCCTTCAGCCCCTGCCCCAGAAGCATGTGGACACGGGAATGGGCCTGGAGAGACTGGTGGCCGTGCTACAAGGCAGGCGCTCCACCTACGACACTGACCTCTTCTCCCCGCTGCTCCACGCCATACATCAGGTGAGCAGAGGCCAGTGGCCATGGGGACATAGAGGGACCTGTGTGAGAGAAATGTGTGCCAGCGGTATAGTGAAGATGCTCGTAAGGGTGCAGCTTCCTGTCTGGGCCCAGCACAGTGCCCTTTTCGTCGTATCCTGGGAGCCAGAGCAAGTCACAAGGCTGCCCAGGCTGGAGAGGGAGAAGCAGACTCCATCCTGAGATAGGAAGCAACTGTATGAAGTCCTACTACAGAGTAGCGCGAGCTCAGGACAGGCCGTTTTCGTAAACTGTGTCACAGAGAGGAAAGCAGAAGCCAGACCGTGTGGGTCCCTAAAGTGCAAGGTAGGGCTTTGTCCTGGATGCGGGAGGAGGCTGGGCTGGGGGCAGGCAGGGTCCCTGTGCACTTTGGGAAGCCGTCCCTGTTGCTGTGCAGAGGGGACCCAGGAGAGACAGGAGTAAGAGTGGGGAACCCGTTGGGAGGCTGTTATCAGTCCAGGCAACAGAGCATGGGTGAGGAGGTTCAGGGAAAGCAGAGAAAAGCAAGTCTTTTTGAGAGCTGCTGGGAGGGGGAAGAAAAAGACACTGGGGTTCGGAGCTGTGAGCGGCACAGAGCGTCATGGCTGCTCGTCGGTGTGGTGAAGGGGGGCAGAAGCAGGCTTGGGCAGGACAGGTCAAGCTGTCTGTTAGCACAGCATGCACCCACCCCCAAGGACGGGCATCAGGCCCCCGGTACCCTTTTGACATATGCTCCTGATGAGTGGTGTGGCCTGCCTCTCTTCTCTAGAGCCTCAGTTTTCTATCTCGGAAAGCAAGGATAGTAATGCCTCCCAGAGGGGCCATTTTCAAGATGGATTGCCACCTAACCGCTGTGACAGTGAAAACCCAGCAAATGGTCACAGATGTGTTCGTCGCCTGGGCCAGTCTGAGCCCCATAAGGGCACCAACAGCACCAGCAGCCCGTCTCTTCTCCCCCCACGTTCCAGGGCTGCGGGGCACCCCCGTACTTGGGCCGAGTAGGGGCAGCCGATGAGGGACGCACAGACACAGCCTACCGCGTGGTGGCCGACCACATCCGCACACTCAGTGTCTGCATCGCGGACGGTGTCTCCCCAGGCATGTCGGGAGCCCCGTGAGTCCCGGGAGCCATGCGGAGGGGAGGGGCCGCAGATTGCGGGGGAGGAGGTGGAGAGATGGGGCAGGCTGACTGCACAGCCTGTGGGGTCACCCTGGGCTCTGATCTCCTCTAGGCTGGTCCTTCGCCGGATCCTCCGAAGAGCTGTGCGGTTCTCCAAGGAGGTGCTTCGGGCACCACCCGGCCTCCTAGGCAGCCTGGTGCCGGTGGTAGTGGAGACACTGGTACGGGCAGGGCTTCTCCCCGGGCCCCAGGAGCCTAGTGCTGGGCCCCAACAGTGCCCCTGGCCTGGGCACATGGGGCTCCCTTCCTCTGGTGTCCAGCCCAGCACCCGACAAAGCCGTACTTGCTCATAAGAGGCAGGGATGGTCCAGGAAGCCCCCTGCCCAGGCTGCGTGTCATGTGACATTAGAACCCCTCTGCCTGTGGCCCTAACCCACTGGAAATCCGGTCCCTGTCTGAGCCTCCAGGATGTCCTCAGGGAGGCTGGGCTGAGGGGGAATGGCTGTTACCTGTCCCTCCACAGGGAGACGCATATCCAGAACTTCGGAGGAACTCAGCCCAGGTAGGAAACCCTGGGGATGGGAGAGAGGTGGAGAGAGGTGCTTCCCACGGGGGACCCAGCTCCACCACCTTCTGCCTGGACAGATAGCCAGCCTGGTGTCGGAGGATGAGTCCGCCTTCCTGGACTCCCTGCAGCGGGGTCAATGGATCATCGACCGCACCCTGAAACGTCTGGGGCCTTCTGATCTGTTCCCTGGTGAGTTGGACCTGGCCAAGGCAAGAGGAACTCACAGACTAGGGGCAGCCACAGGAGGGGCTCTGGGCCAGCTCTGGCCTCACATCTCCAGCCCCCCCCCGAGGGGACTCTTCTGTCCTCTCCCTGCGTACTCAGTGCTGTGTGCAGTGGGAACTCCACCGTGCTGTCTTCATCCACCCTCCCAGCCACCCCGCCTCCTGTCCCTGCCCCACACTCACCCTGGCCCCGCTTCCTGTGGCATCTGCCTACATGGTTAGAGCCCTGGCCTTCTCCCCTAACTCTTCTCCCCTTCCCTTGTCCCCACCCTCACCCACCGCACCCACTGCCCATTCCTAACACCCTTCCCCAAAGCTGATGTGGCCTGGTCCTTGTCGCTGTCTGGGAACCTGGGGCTTCCCCTGGACCTGGTGGAGCTGATGCTGGAGGAGAAGGGCGTGCAGCTGGACTCTGCAGGGCTGGCACAGCTGATGCAGGAGGAGGCCCAGGTATGGGCAGGGGCACCATGATATGTCAGCCCCATGCCCAGCTTTGGGCTCCTTGGGGATGACTGGACAGACTCTCCAACCCTGCCACAGCCTGCAGGAGGGACCAGAGGATAGGGCAGCACAGCGCCCTAGAGAGAGGCCAGGGGACAGCAGGGGCAGGAGGGCTGGTACCAGGGCGCCTGTGCTGTGGCTGTTTCTCCAGTTAGCCCAAGTGGGAGGGGCCAGGGTGGCTCCCCAGCCACCTGTGCCACACACTGTGGTTCTCCAGCTCCGGGCCCACCAGGCTGAGCCAGCTCAGGAGCACAGACTTCGCCTCGATGTCCACGCACTTGGGGAGCTGCGGCGCCGTGGGGTGCCCCCCACTGATGACAGCCCCAAGTACAGCTACTCCCTTCAGCCCACTGGGAACTATGGTGAGAGCCTGGACATAGGCTCTCCAGGGTCGCCTCCAGGGTTCACTGTGCCCCCCGCCATCCAGACCCATGGGCTACATCCCCAGTACCCCCTTGGCACTGACAGCCATCCTGCACCCTACAGAGTTTGGCCCCTGCGAGGCCCAGGTGCTGCAGCTGTACACTGAGGATGGGGCTGCTGTGGCCACCGTGGGGCCAGGCCAGCGCTGCGGCCTCCTTCTGGACAGGACTAACTTCTACGCTGAACAGGGAGGCCAGGCTTCAGACCGGGGCTACCTGGTGCGGGCGGGACAACAGGTAGTGTCCCCACACCAGCGTAATAATGGCCATGAGGACAGGCTGGGTCACACAGGGCCCAGGACAGGGGAGCCACGATCAGTCACTCAGTGTCCTGCCTTGCACTTCCTAGGATGTGCTGTTCCCTGTGGCCCAGGCCCAGGTCTCGGGGGGCTTCATCCTGCACGAGGTGCTGGCCTCTGAGAACCTGCAGGTGGGGGACCAGGTGCAGCTGCACGTGGATGAGGTAAGCACCCCACCATGCGGTCCTGTTCTCCAGCAGCCCCTTCACCGTCCCCACGCCCACACCACCCAGGCTCCTGAGTGACGGGAGTGTTTCAGGCCTGGCGTCTAGGCTGCATGCAGAAGCACACGGCCACCCACCTGCTGAGCTGGGCACTGCGGCAGACCCTGGGCCCCAGCACGGAACAGCAGGGTTCCTACCTCAACCCTGAACGGCTGCGCTTTGACGTGACCACCCAGGTGAGCTGGGTGTTGTGGGGCAGGAGTGACCAGGCTCAGGGCCCAGCACTGCCATTCGGTCTCTGTGGCCCTCCAGCAGCACCTTTCCCAGGCTCTTCCTGCCAGCAAGGGGTCAGGCTACCCATGGGAGCCTCCTGCTGCCCTGCCGTAGGGTTCCCCTCCCCTCCAGCCACCAGCTTTCTTGTTCTTGCTGTCCCCAAGCCAGCCTTGCTTCAGACTCAGCCACCTTCCCTTTTTCCTGTCCCATCTGGCTTCCAAGCACATTTGGCTGACTGGCCCTGTGGCACTTGGCCACTCTGTCCCCACAGCCCCCTCCTGTATCCCCTGCCACGCCACTCCACCCAAGCTCCCTGAGGACACAGCCTTCTCTGGGTGTCTTTTGCCAAGTGTTTGGTGCCCAGTGAAGGCCTTCAGTTTCCCATAGGCCCCTCTTACAAGTGGCTTGGAGGCCTCTGCCCCACCATTGTTTATAGAGCCTCTGTCCCGTGCTAGCCATGCCCTGGGACCTGGGGAAAGACCCAGGGACATAGAGGGTGACACGCCTGGGGCTGATGCTGTAAATCTTCCAGACCCCCCTGACCCCAGAGCAGCTCCGGACAGTGGAGGGCACTGTGCAGGAGGCCGTGCAGCAGGATGAGGCCGTGTACATGGCAGAGGTGCCCCTGGTGCTCACTTCCTGTGTCCCTGGCCTGCGCTCTTTAGATGAGGTGAGCAGGGCCATCCTCTTGGTGGCAGTGGCCACCTTTGGCATACCCAGAAGGCACCCCGTCTTCACATCCATTATAGCACAGCCCCTCTGCTGCAGGTGTACCCAGACCCCGTAAGAGTGGTATCGGTTGGGGTACCTGTGGCCCGAGCCCTGGACCCCACATCTCAGGCTGCACTGCAGGTCTCCGTGGAACTCTGCTGTGGAACGTGAGTCACCCCGTCACAGTGCCCTTCCTGGTCTGAGCTGCCAGCACTTGGCTTAGGGCCCTGGCTTCTCCCTACTCCCTCATCCCCATGACTTCTCCTTCCTCCTGCCCACAGGCACCTGCTTCGTACAGGGGCTGTGGGGGACCTGGTTATTATCGGGGAGCGCCAACTCTCCAAAGGCACCACCCGCCTGCTGGCCATCACCGGGGAGCAGGCCCAGCAGGTCAGCACCAGTGGGCCCAGGAGACTTCCGGTGCGGATGGGGCAGGGGCCATACACTGCAGACACCCCCAGGCTCAGGGATGCCTGGCATTGATGCATGCACACTGGCACGCTGGCACACTGGTGTGGCCATGCCAGCAGTTGGAAGCTGGCTTCTGTTACGATATTCAGTGCTGGCCCTGTCCATCCTGGCTCCACCCTGCAGGCCCGAGAGGTGGGTGAGAGCCTGGCCCAGGAGGTCGATGCAGCTGCAGAACGTCTGAGTCGGGGCAGCAGGGACCTAGTGGAGGCTCATCGGCTGTCCAAGGATGTGGGACGACTCACAGAGGTGAGGGCCGCCTACCATGGAGCCACCCCCACCCTCTATCTGCGGGGTGCTCTGGGACAGGGCAGGGCTGACACTGCTACCCCTGGCCGCAGAACGTGGACAGCGCTGTGATGCCTCAGTGGCAGCGGAGGGAGCTGCAGGCCAGGCTGAAACTGCTTCAGCGCCAGGCCAACACCGCCATCCGCAAGCGGGAGCTGGGCCAGGTAAGGGGACAGAGGGGACAGGGGCTCCGTTGGTGGCAGCCTCTTCTCTCCTGCCAACCGAGACCATCAACAGGCTGGTCCCCATGTCCCTCTCCACCACACGGTGTCTCCACTGCAGTTGTCCCTCCAGAGGCCTCTCCACTGCCCACCACCTGGCTCTGCCCGCTCCTTGCCACCTGTACCTGGCCTGCCCCCTTTCACCCAAAGGGATCTGTTTGTAAGGCCTGGAGCTGTGACGGAAGGGCCCAGGCGAGGTGGGAGAAGGACACGATGGAAGCTGAGCGCGGACCCAGCAAAGCCGGCCCATCACCTCTGCTCAGAGCCCTGGCCTCACCAGGGAGAGACTGCGGGGCTGGGTTCTGACACGGGGACAATGGCAGATCGGTCTCAGACTGACCTTCTGTGTCCCTCTGCTCTGCAGGCTGCTGTGAAGTCCCAGGAGCTGCTGAAGCGACATGAAAAGGGACCCCTGATCGTGGACACTGTGTCTGCTGAGTCCCTCTCAGTCTGTGCCAGTGAAGGGAGGCAGGAGGGACGTGTCCTCAGGGGAGGTGGCCGTGGCTCACGCACCCATCCCCTCCCTCACCCAGGTGCTGGTGAAGGTGGTGCGGCAGTTGTGTGAGCTGGCCCCGGGTACCTCTGTGCTCCTCCTCAGCCCCCAGCCAGTGGGCAGCATCCTGTGTGCCTGCCAGGTGGCCCAGGTGAAGAGGGTACAGCCCTTGGATTCCACACACACCTTTACCCCTCCCAGACAAAGGAATGGGGCAGGAGGAGGAGGCCTATGAGGATGCCCAGGCCAGCGACTGGGCAATCTCCTTGTCCCCAAGACAGACCTCCCCAACCCAGAAGGCACTGCACTGCCAGGTCCCTGCCTGCCCGGGCCTTTCCCCCACTCCCTATCCTGCATATCTGCAGAGCTGCTCCTCAGCCCAGCCTCCCCTACCTCTCTGGAGGGCCTGCCTTGGCCTTTAACTCTGTCTCTGTCCCCAGGGTACCACAACTGCCTTCACAGCAGAGGCCTGGGCGCTGGCTGTGTGCAGCCACATGGGAGGCAAGGCCTGGGGCTCACGCGTGGTGGCTCAGGGCACTGGACGCACCATGGACCTGGATGCTCTCCTCAGTGCAGCCCGAACCTACGCCCTCAACCATCTCTGACCCCAGTGCTCCGGGAACCTACAGAGACAGGATCTGGTGCCCTGGAGGAGCCCCACAGCCTCCCAGGGGCCCACAGGCGGGGCTGAAGGAGGCCACCTGTCCCTGCCTGACACAAGGAGGCACAGGCTGGGAATGCGGAGGGGGCCCAGAAGCGTCCCTCCCACCAAATGTGAAGACATGGCTACCAGAGCTGTGACTGCTCATTAAAGTGATTTTAGAGCACAGCAGACTCTGGAAGGTTCTTTTTCCCAAAAAAGAGTGGGCTTTACCCTCCCACCATGACACAGGCACCCATCACCTGTGTGACCACTCACACCAGGGGGAAGGCCCAGGCTCCAGATCTGGACCACCTATTCAGCAGAGTTCCAGGATGGAGACTCCGGAAGTCTTACGTGGGATCACGGCAGCTGGGCTGACCCTCCTGGGTCACCAGCCTCATTCACAATGACCCAGAAGTCCAGGGTTTCACTTCAGCCTCACTGCCTGGCCAGTCCACTGAGCAATGGGAGCTGGTCACCTGCTGGGCCTGGTGGCATTTGCTTTGGGAGAAAGGCAGCCAGTGAAGAGGTGGTGTCAGGTGGCGACGGAAGTGAAGCAGTACCAAGGACTAGGAGGGCGGGGGGCGTCTAAACTGGGCACTCAGGGAAGAGCAGCCAGGCTGGGGTGGTGGCAGGTGACAGGGTTGGGGCAAATATGTGCTTTAGAAAAAAGCTGCCCAGCACAAGCCCATCTGGACAGAGGAAGCCGAGGTAGCAGTCAGCCTCCCACCAGGATGGGGCATGAGCTTGCAGCGTGCATGCGCTGCTGCTGGGTTCAGGGGAGGCCAAGGCAACCCGGCCCGAGGTGCTGGCTGTCTAGTGAAGCCACGTCCCCCTGAGGCAGATGCTTTGTGGGCCTGGCAGCAGCATCTCTCAGGGCAGCCACCAAGGTGAGCTTGGTGCTCAGCGTTACCGAGTCACAGTCACCCACAGCTGCGGTTCAAGGAAGCTGTGCCTTCCCCTGAACCTCCCTCCACCTGGAGCACAGTTCCTTGTCACAGCCGCTCTGGGGTCTGTCCCTCTACCCTGTCCTGGGGCTGGAAATGCCTGGTGCAAGCCTAGAGCTGTGGGAACTGCGCAGGCCCTTGCTGGAGAGTCAGCCCTTCCACACTCGCCTCCCTTTTCCGGGCCCTCTCACGGGGAAGAGCCAACCCATCCTGAAGGTGCCCCGCCCTGACAAGCATTCATTGCCAGACGCCCCGCAGTCCACAAGGCGGATTTCCAGACCTGGTGGACTGCTGTGGGAGCGTGGGAACCACTGACTGACAGCCCAGCGCCGGGCCCGCCCCTGGCAACGCGGGCGTCCCTAACGACAGCCCAGGCAACAGCAGCGTCCCTAGCAACCACCTCCCTAACAACTGCAGAGAGCCTGGCCAGCTCCCTCGGCCCACTGGGGCCATGTTTGGCCCCACTATCAGTGTTGGAACCCCTACTCTCCAGGAGGGACAGTGGTTCTAAGCCCTGGGTCCCTCAGAAGAGTGACCCCTCTCCCTGTAGCTCCAGAAGCTCCCTCCCCACCCCCCTGTGGTGGTTTCCTTGTTACTGAGAAGCCAGAGTCCTCACCCCAGGTAGGGTGGGGAGCGCTGCGGGCCTTCAGAGTCACCTCCTGAGGTGTCAGAGGGAGCTTGGAGTCGGGCCACTGGAGCCCCTCTTCAGGCAACAGACTCAAGCAGGAGTTGGTGGGAGCAGGGCCCAGGGGATTGAACACCACAATTCTCACAGGACCAGAAATCAGTTTGGCTGTCAGAGAAACTCTTAACCCTGTTCTCTGACTGCAGACTCCCCAGCCAGGAATGCAGGTGTGGCTCGTCCTAAGCTAAGCCTCTGTGGGCACGAAAGAGATCAAGGTAGAGACAGACACAAACCCAGGGCCCCAGGACAGCACCCGCCACCCAGAAGTGCTCTCCTAGGGACCCTGGGTACAGGAGGGCGAGGCATAGCTAGTGGAGCAGGTGGCCAGAGAGGCAGGTAGGGAGCCAGGGAGAGTGGGCAACCCCAGTTCTCAGAGAAGGGAGGGAGCACAGCTGAGGGCTTGGACTGTGACAGAGGGGTGAGGGCACCCCCACAATGTCCTGTCTCAGTGGCTGGGTGTAACTGGGATGATTTGAAACTCATTCACAGTGGGATATGAATTTTACGTATACGTATATCTGTATCTTCTCTTGTTACATATCCCATGCTTGCCTTTCATAGTGTACAGCCCTGCTGGGTATTCTGAAGCCAGCCAGCCCCTGTCCTGGTCACCAGCTTCTGCATCCACCAGGATGGGCTGAGGAAGCCTGCTCAAGCTCCACCAGGGTGGTTGAAGGTGCAGAGGAGGGAATAATTCTGAAGGGGCCTGTTACTGTCACACCTGGGCTGACGCTGTCCGGTGCCAGGAAAGACAGGATATAAGGCTGGAGGTTCAATGTGGCTGCAGAGGACAAGGCCACCCCATTAGGGACCCAGCTCTGGAAGTGACGACCAGGGCCTCAGGCCTTCTCAGTGGGCCTTTGAACTATTTCATCACCTGGCAGGATTCTCCCCATAATTTCTCTCACTCACCAAACTGTGACCCTAGCAAACCTCAGCTTCAGCAAAAAGGACTTGGAAGAACATTAGGTCTCAGGACGGCCGGGGTGGTAGCTCAGTGGCACCATACCTGCCTGGCAAGTGCAAGGTCCTGAGTTTGATCCCTGGTACAAAAAAAAAAGAAAAAAATTCTTAGGGCTGTGGAGGCGCCAGACTATCTGTGCTCTCAGGGACTGGGAACGGTAAGGAAGGTGCTTTGGGTCTGCCATCTGTCCCCTCTGGACTCAGTCCCTCCTGCTGCAGGCAACCGTGAGTGCAAGGGAGACAGCTCCCAGCAGTGGGGGCTATAAGCCTTCAAGGACATCTGTCCTTCTGTTGCCTGCACTTGGACAAACCCAAGAAGGGCTCTGATTGGCTGTCACTGTAGCCACCCCCTGAACCAATGGCTCCAGCCAATAGGATGCTTCTCCCCAGCAGCTATTCTTAGAAGTGTGGGGCAGCCCCAAACACCAACACCCACCCAAGCAAGCCTAAGATCCATGACAGCAGAAGTGGGGAGTAGCACCCACCCCTGAGCCCCTCCCAGGCAGTGACACAGGGGTTGGAGGGTGAACTTAGCAGGCTGGGGTACAGGAGAGCCCAGTAAGTGGTGTTGAGCTGAGACCCAGTGCACCAGTATCCCTTTCCCAGGCAAGGGGGCAGAGGCCGGCAGTGTCCCGGGTGCAAGAGCAGGGAGGCCTTGGACACAGGAGCGGAGGAAGCTGCTTGTGTGCAGTGGGGTGCCGAGGTTTTCCCAGGCCCAGACATGGGAGGACCGGCTGATGCCAGGAGCCAACAGCTGGGCTTGGTGCAGGCAAATGTGGAGGCAGCAGAAAAGGCCAGGGGGTGCTGGAGAGCAGGTGAGGAGAACCAGCAGCTGAATGTGGGCTGCAGGCAGGACAGTTGTGGGACCCCTGAGCTCAGGGAGAAGGGGTCTGGGCCCTGAGGGAGGATAACAGGGCCCTGGGGGTCTCAGCCGGTGCATGGTGGGCACAGTGCCAAGCCCACAAGAAGACTCAGGATGGTGGTAGAGGCGGGCAGGGTATCACCCGCCTGGGGCAGAGCCACATATCACACTGCAAAGAGTTCATTTTGCTCATTATCCTTTTAAATATTCTTTGATCTAGCGTGTTTCGTTTTGATTTGTTTGTTGAAACAGGGTCTCCATATGTAGTTCTGGCTGGGTTTGAACTCATTATGTAGCTCAGGCTGGCCTTGAACTTGTGGCAATCCTCCTGCCTCAGCCTCCCAAGTGCTGAGATTACAGGTGTGCACCACCACACCCTGCTAAAAGTAGGGGGAGGTTTTGTTTTTATTTTTTATTTGTATGTTTGGTACCAGAGACCGAGCTCAGTATCTTTCGCTTGCTAGCTATTTTTGTTTTGGAGACAGGGTCTCGCTGTGTAGTTCAGACTGTCCTTGAACTCACTATGTAGCCCAGGCTGGCCTCGAACTCATGATAATCCTCCTGCCTTGGCCTCCCAAGTGCTGGGACTACAGTAAAAGTAGGTTTTTAAAAGACTGTTGGCCTATCAAAAACCCCTTTTTGTTTTTTTCAGTACTGAGGATTGAACCCAGGGCTTTTGCACTAGACTACATTCCCAGCCCTTTTTTTTTTTTTTATTCTGAGGCAGGGTCTTGCTAAATTGCTCAGGCTGGACTCTAATTTGGAATCCTCCTATCTCTGCTGCCCAGAGTGCTGGGATTATAGGCATGCACTGCCACACCCAACCAAAAATATTTGTGTAATATTTATTTTTAAAACATGAAGAGGTGATCAAGGGAAAATGATTTTCACTGACCTTATTCTGCAACTAAGGGTCCCGGTGTTTGCCTGAGACATAACACCAGCCCCAGGTCTGGGGCTCCTGGCAGGGCTCCTATGTAGCATCAGAGCAGCCCTGCCCCTCCCTTCTGCCACTGGTGAGGCCCTGGGATGGGTCCCCCTGCCCCAGGAGGGGTGTCCAAGGAGGAGGGAGTGGAGCAGGGGCTGCTGCAGACCAGGGCAGTGAGGCTGGGCAACAGTGCCCACCAGGGACCTGCATGCCTCTGCCAAACCTGGGCCTGCTCCCTGCAGTGCGGCCCATGGTGTCCCTGGGGACTAAAGAACAGCCAGGAAGGGCCCCAGGAGTCCAGAAACAGGGCTGGCCTCCCTGCCTCCATGCTGCCCCTCACCCTCCACCTCACTCCAAAGAATTGTCCCCAGCCCAAGTCCCTGGCCTCCCTGGTGCTGTCACCTGTACCCACCCCTCAGCACCCTTTCCAAGGACCATCAATAGTCACTAAGTATCATCCCAGAGGAATCCCCACAGTCATCCACCCAGTAAAGAATCATTATTTACTTTACAAACACAGAAACAGAAGTTCAGATAGGTTGAGTAAATGGGCCAAGGTTGCACAGCAGGTAACTGGCAAAACAGGAACCAAGTGAACTCAGTGGAGGCTACAGCAGCAGTCACTCCAGCCACCCTTTCCAAGGGGCCCCAAGTCAAAAGCTGGACTCAGCTGAACTTGCATTTGGTTTCCAAACGGCTGTCACTGTGCAGGGACAATGTCCCCACACTGCCCAGCCATCAGCCCCATCAGGAAGGCTCTTCCTCCTGGAGCTGCCTGGCCCCAGTGAGCACCATCTGGTCCTTCCCCCTGCCAAGGACGCCTTTTCTGGATCACAATGTGCCTCCCACAAGGTCCTGAGGCAGGTGCCATCTGAGGGTACTGAATGCTGGGCAGGCAGCCCTGTCCACTCCCAGGTCTCTGAGCACAGGGCAGGGAGTCCCCAGACCCAGCCACATTTCATACCCTGTCCTCAGCCCCAGATTTAGCTGCCTTCTCTCCTGTGTCTATTGTACTCCAAGCTGCCTGGGATGTGGGGCCAATAGAACTGGAGGCGGTCCTGGGGGAGAGGGGATCACAGGAGGGCTCAGGGATGGAGACCCCCCAGGGCAGAGGTGAGGGTGCCAGCACCTTGGGCAGGCCATGCCTGGTCTCCTCTCCTTTCTTTCCAACCCAAAATGCCTTCAACATAGGCTCAGTGTGGTACATCCCAAGCCATTTTTTGTTTTTTAGTTGATTATAATTCAGGCTGGCCTCAAACTTGCCATCCTCCTGCCTCAGCCTCTCAAGTATGAATGGATAAACTATGTTCAGACCTATTCTTGTTCTTTATAAGCTGTGCGACTTTGGGCAAGCCAATTAACTTCTCTGTGGGTCAGTTTCCCATCAGAAAACTGGGGAAAAGATGAATGCCTACCTCCAAAAGGCATTTGTGAGGATAAATGTATTAATATACATAAGGAATATCCAGTGTATAGCAAGTACTACATGACGAAAAAGTTAATCACCTCAGCTGCTTGCTATACATGCCAGACAGTTTACTCTGCTTCCTTCCGTCATTATTTCATTCCCTCCTCTAAATAACCCTCTTGCTAACTGTCACCCTCATTTCATAGAGGCAGCACTGAAACCCAGAGAGGTTCAGTCAGTTGCCCAAAGCCACACAGCTCATTATAGGATTTGCACCAGGATCTACTTTGGCTCTGCAGTCTCTGCTTCTCCAAAGCCTCACCTCTCCCTGCTTCCTCTCCCTCCAGGTTCCCACCAGCATCAAGGACCTGAGTGGCATATTGTATCCAGCTCCCCACAGGGCCTCCTGCCT